GCGACCCGGTCGCGTCGTTACGACTCCGTCCCGGAAGTAATAACACTCCGAAACTCGTGTTCCCGCAAACACGGGCTGATTCCACCCGGAAAACGTGCACCAGCCACCGAAACACACGATCGTTCCGACCGGGGCCGGATAACTCGCGCGAACGAACGACGAGCGCCGTTTGCGAAAAGAGAAATGGAGCATATATGAATGGCACGGAGGTCGAAGAACATCAGAGAATATGTACTGGTTACGAAAAGTATTGCTATTCTCTCGAAATACCTTTTCTAAACTGTACTACAGTAATGATTCGTAAATTGAACATTTCTATCCTTCCCAACTAGGAGCATCCTCGTATAATTTCGCCTCCACTGTACTAAGAGCTAACTTTAATGAGCATACTTTGAAACAATATATTGCTTAAAAGTATTTCGAAGCAAACACAGGTACCAATAACGATAGCCGATTTTTTCGTCAAAGATAATTTGTAATTACATATTCGCGTTATCATCTGCACGGAACATAAACACGAACGAACTGCGTACGCATTAGCAACAATATTATCGCATAAAGCGTTGCGGGCAATTCCAAACGCAGCGGAAATGCATCGAACGAAGGTATCGCGTGTCGCGCGTGTGTTTATTACAAATTTCCGGAGGGGCCGCGGAGCGTTTGAATACAGGGCGCAAAACAGGTGAACATTTCACCCGCAAAATCACGTTCGCGCAAATACGACGCAGCCTCGAGAATCACTCCGGGAAACGGTGTTCACGATGCATATACATGTGTACGTATATATAAATCGTGCGCGACCGTGGTGCAAGTGCATTCCACTTGGACGAGCCTGGGAGAGAATTTCGGTGTCCGCCGTACGGGGCTTTGCAAACACGGGCACCGAATCTACCTGCAGTTAAAGGAGATCCACGGGATCCAAAACCGGCGATCGTAAGGACTTTACGGGGTCATTCGAGTGTTAAAACCTAAAGTGCTGAGAGGTGCATTCGACGATGCAAGAGCGACCCGCCAAGTCGCTTTCACCAAGGCATGCGACCCGAAGCCCCTTTTCAAGAAACAGCAAAGACGCAATGAAACTGCAATTTGCGGGCAAGAGAACCCTCGAGAATCGACAAACTCAAAGACTGGCTGGGAGTAATTAAGAAGAACGCTTCTTGAATCGCACACAGCGAAGCGTAAGAGTTGAAAGAAAAGGAAAGGAAGAGATATGGACGGTCGAGGACTTGAGAGAAAGTTGTCGAGCCGTGTCCCTCTGGCGGCGAGCGCGCCAAGTCTTCCCAGAGAGTTGAAAAGCGAGAACGCTACGAATCCGAAGGGAATCGAATATCGTTCGTGATATCTGTATTTACGGTGCGAACAATGGAATTTACAAAATGGCCCCCGGCGGGCGTTTCGTCGGTCGACGGTGCCTAAAAAGCAACAACAACGGTAGAAGGTTGTTTCGGGAGGTCAATTCGGTGCCGCGGACCGCCGACCCAAAAACTGATCGTTGAAATTTATGCGAGTTGTTCTAGTTGGGGTGGATAAATACATGGGGGCACCCCCTTCGTTCGCAGCCAGTGGCCTCGAGCCACCTGCACGATCCATTGGTTTTGCGCACGAGTTTCCGTTACGCGCCGGTGTATACTCTCGCGTAGATTAGGTTTCGTGCGACACGGCCCGCTAATGAACGAGGAGGTGTCGTTTGCACGGAAACTGGACGGGGAGAAAATTTTCAAATTTGTGTTTACGCCCCGAGGCGAAACCAACCCCTTCGCCCTTCGCCCTTCATCCTCGACGTTCCTCCCCGATACCCTCGCCAACGTTCGCCGCCGCTACGTGCAAATGAACGCGTAAATACACCGGTCGTAAATACGCGCGAGATTTATTCTCTGACGCTTTCCACCCTTCGATTTTTCTACCCCTTTCGCCCCCCTGCCTCCTCCATACGCGAATCGACTGTTTTCGTTCCGACTGCAAACACAATAGCTGCATTTTATTTACATTCGTATCGTTCTCTCTTCCATGACTTCGCGCAACTCTAAAAATTTATATTCTGCGTTTATACTAATATTAATAACGGGTAGCGAAAGATTGTAATTTCCACTGTGAACTGCAACTTTTTTACACATTACGAGCAGCTCGTATTTACCTTCCTCACCTTGCTGGTCGGTAATGAGTTCTGTGTTACCGGCAGAAGGCCGATATATAGACTACCGGTCGGTAAAGTCGGTTGATCGTTTACATCGGCAACGATCAGTACCGTGCTAAAAGATAGTTGTATAAATAAATTCTAAGTGAGAAATCGAAGGTTTCCGTTACAAGAAGCCGACACAATATCCAGGGCGGTGGTTTTTGCGGGTGTCTCGCGAGAGGGACGAAGAATCGCGAACGAAAGAAAAAGAAAGACGCAAAAACGTGCGGCGATGCGTGGGGGAAAACGTAGAAAACGCGGAGGGAAAACCGTAGGACGGGTTCCGATATCGCTGAACCGGCGCAACGCGCGCCCTGGATAATTCTCTCGGTCACGTATAGCTAGGAATGTTTTCGTTGGTAATATCAACCCTCCGTGCCAACCAGCCACAACTTTCATTCACGGCTCCCTTCGTGGCCAGGCTTTTTCTCCGGCCGAACGTTCGCGACCCCCGGAGGAACGGGAAAGAAAAGTAACGCGAGAAGATTCCGGGCTTGTAACGAGAAAGCGTATCCGATTTCCTAAATCCTCGCTTCCCCGTGTCCGAAGAGCGACAGGATCGTTTATGATTCGAACGATGTTGCAACGCTTTATTAGATCCTCTTGCGAATTTAATTAGGCGTGCGAGATACGGGGTGCAAGTCGAATCGCGATTCAATTCGCGTACGGGCGAGCACATTGACCCAAATAAAAAGTCCGTATTCGCTCCGCGCGAACCTACACGGCCATCATTGCCGATTAATTGGACGGCCGTCATCCACCGAACGATGTTAATTAGAGATTATTACTAATCGAGAGAAAAAAGAAACGAGATTCGGTTCGACGCGAGTGTAGTCGCCTTTATCTCGCGATCGCCGGATGCTTTTGGGCAAACTTTTTGCCCCGTGCTCCCGTCTCGTTCAATACGAACCCGTACTTCTGCCGCAGACCCTGATAATCGATTGGAAACCGTAATTGGAAGCTGCCACCGTACGTGAAACAATTAATTAGACCTTAATTAGCACTCGGCCCAGTTTCAAAGTCCCGACGGCGAGTAGGTTCCAGAGAAAGCTGGGACTTCGTCATCGTATTACCCTCGAAAACTCGCTGGAAGAGATAAAGGGACGGGTTCCGTACGTCCTATTTAATCCCTTCGCCCGTCGCTGACGAGACCTTATCGCCGCGTAATTATCTTCGCGCCTTGTAAAATACGATACGGCTAATTTTACCCGATAAAGTTAATTACTCTTCGTACACTGAGAATCCATCCGGACGTTAAATTATTCCCTGCGAAAAGACGTTCCCAACGTTGGCTCGCTTATGCGAAAGAATGGTACTATTATTCGTATCTATTGCTGGTCTGTAACGATGGCAGGGACTCGGTCGATAAGATAGAGAAGAACTATTATTTCGCTAACGATCCACAACCCACGAGAGAGAGAGACCCTCGTCGAGAGTTCAAAATTTCCTTCTGTGCGGATAGCGGGCCGCCGAACGGAACCAGACTCCTGCCCTTCTGTCTGCTTGTAGGGCGAAAAAAAGGCACCCGGGCACCGGATCAAAGACACGCGCGGAAACGTCGCCTGTAATTCGGTTGAATCGATCGCCACGAGCCGATGAATTGCGACTACGAACCGATACCTCGTCGCGAAGCGCATCCCTCGGGATCCTTCGTGCGAGAACTAATCACGGAGTGGAAACCCAAGCGGGTGGGAGAGACACGACCTCCCGGGGTTGCAGTTAGATCGTCGCTTTTGAAAATTTCGCTCGACGAGCCGCGCAACAGGATCGAATTTTACGCGTCGATACTCGATATAAAAGTATTTCTAACAGTTACTCCGTATATTTCTGTACACTGTAATTGGGCGAGCCTTTTTCTTATGGAATTTTTTCATTTAACTTTTATCGAATGTTGTTTATTTTACATTGTGCGTTATTTCTCATAAGACATAAGAAACACAATTTTTTTTTTAACATTAAACTGTTTGTAATTTATTTATTTAGTACACGAGATATACTCATTTGAGTACACATATAAGTAGTATGCAAATAAAGTATCAATAATATAACGTTTTTCCCCCCGGAGCGGTCACCAATCCCCGTATTGCATGCGGCCGAATGATGCTGCACTTTGGTGATCAGACGAGAATTGACGAGTCTAACGTGCCCACGATCGTCGACACGTAAAACAAGTCTTTTTTTCAATTTATAGTGAATTACCAGTAACTGTACATGTTGTAACACATTATAAATCGCCGGATTTTTGATGCACAGTGTGTAAGAACCTGTTTATATGGCTCCTGCATTTCACAAGCAATCAAGGAAAACACGTTGTATGGAATGTGTTATCATTCTATTGAGTATAGTATTAGGAAAAGTATCAAGGGAACTGGTGGAGAATTGTGGGACCCGATGAACTTCTGTTTCACGATTATTCGGTTCCCCGGCGGTTATTATCCGACGGCATTACCGGATAATTTAGGTGCGCTTTGTTCGCGCGAGAATGCACCAAGTTCAGCGCTGAGCTCACCTTGACGCGGCCGGCTATTGGGCTCCGGTGTTCCGTCGATACAAATTTCGAAAGTGATGATGAAGCAACGTTACGGGAAAGTTCAGGCAGTTTGGAACGACTGCTTCCTCGGCGTTTCGTAGCCCGGGCTGCAAGCCGTGCATCCAGGAACGGTGGAAATTTATCAGAAACTACGTACGATACCGAAAAGAGACTCTCCCGCGAAAAGATTTTACTCGAAACGATGAACCATACAATCCGATCGATAGAACGATGGAAATGAATTCCCGTTGCTATCGAAACGTTTCTTAGCAGAGTCCGCCCTGTGTGTTTCAGCTACGAGAATACACGTTAACCGAGACGTATCACGAAGACGACGTCGAGGTGGAGTTCGTCAGTAACGACAATCTACTAGCAAACAGTCCGACCCCTCGGGGAATCGATCCGAACAGGGACCTGAACGAGGCCATCGCCGAGGAACGAAAGGAAATGGACACTCAAAGATACAGGTACGCTTGTCCCCTTTATTCTCATCGAGTTTCTCGTCCGTCTCGTCGTCCGTGCGCGGTCGAATCAGAACACTCCGAGCTAAGTTTTAAATTTCGCGGAACAGCGTCCGGCTACAGGTGGCGGAGATAAAAATTGTCGAAACTTCGATGCCGCTCGGGGACCGGAAATTGACGCGCTCGCGTCGCGATACCGACGCGAGAGAATCCCGGAGAAATAAATCGATTCGAGAGCGAGAAGACCTAATCGTCCTGTCTTGTCGGGGCGACCTCGTTCGATTCGCCTCGGGACAATGGCAGAAATGAAATTCGAAAAATGGGTCGCGAGCCGGAAACGTTCGCTAACGGAGCCTCGACCGGACACAGGAAGACACGTTGAATGAACACTTGGCATAAAGGACATCCAGGTCCGACAGGCTGAGACCGCGACAATGTCCAGACGTATCGCGAAAAGAGTTCCGGAAATGGGACGTCATTGGGAGTCGGGGCTGAAAAGAGTCTTTCGCGGATCTTAGGGAAAGAGTATCTCGTAGGTCTATCCGTTGTTTGCCTCTCCCTTTCGCGACCAGTCTCCTCGCCAGGCCTGTTGGCATCGTTACGAAATCCTTTCTCCGCTCCCCCGCGCGCCCCTTTCTCGCCCTATTTCTCTTTTTAACATTTTACGATCGAGCATGCCGTTTCATAAAAGAACCGCCCCCCGCCCACTCGACGACGAGACCTTTGTGCGACGAGAAACGCACCAGGAATCGCTGTTTTTCCGTATTCTCGCCATTCTTGCACCCTGACGTTTTCAAACCCACCCTCGAAGCACTCGTTTCTCGAATCCTCGAACCAGCGTGTGCTGTTTGAAATCTTTTTCGAGCTAGCGAAAAGTCGTATTCTCTATCGAAACAAATTTTGTTAATTTCCTCTCGCGACCATCCGCTGCTGGTAATTTTCTATTTTTTTTTTTTTCTTTTTTTCCATGTATTATTTATCCGTCGTAAACCGAATCCCATGAAAATGCAATAACCGCGTCCGCGAATCGAATACGTTTCCTCCGCGCGATTCCCCTGGGTCAGCGTATATACATTTGACATCCGATGCCCCGGATAACGATATTACTTTCCGCGAACTTGCCGATTCTCAGCGGCAATTTCTGCGATACGCCCCGGACAAAGTAGAGTGTCCTTATCGTTGTAATATCCGGCTGAGGCCAAGCTGTTCGTGTCCATCGCCTCGCGATCGACTCGAAACGAACGAGAACGCCTCGGACTTCTCCCTTACTTCATACTTTCGTCTTCGTCCGCGTCGCCTCGACCTTTTTCGGGGACAGCAATTTTTTATTTAATCAAGTACGGTGCTCGGTGCAGACGATTCAGGTAGCGGCGGAGTATCGAATCATCGAAATACACGATTAATAACAGCCCTCGACGTGATTTCATTTGAATTCGAGACGAAATCGACGCATCAAACACATATTTAATACGTTTGATATCTCCACTATAAAAAGGACAACGAATTTATTATACGTTTCATTTTTTAAACTTTCGCGTTAAATCACGCGACGTATATTAATCTCCGTTCTATCGTGTCCTTTCGATCTACGCTCAGAAAATGTTGCGCTAGTTTAATAAAAAATCGCTCCCAAGTAAAAATTACAGGGAAATCCCGTGCCTCGGTTACGGTTCGCGTTCGAATCGATAAGTCGGAGAATCGCGTCGAGGGAGCCTTCTCAAAAATAAGCTCTCCTTTGCCGATCGATCGATCGAACGAATGTTTTTTGTCCCGGGAACGGGAAATTGTTTCACGAAACACCGTGATGCCTGACGCTGGCACAGCAACGACAAGCGTAAAATACATTGCTCCGGGCCGTGAAACTTTTAACCAAATTGGAACACCGTCGAACGGCGAATTTATTTTTTATTTTACAGCTTATACGGAATACTTTTTCACGTCGCGGAACGGTGTCTCGAAAGCGCCCGCCGCGCCTCGATCAAACGCACGCCGTTTTTCCGCCGTCGATTTTCTAACCATCAATCTCGCGAGAAACAGTCATAAATCGATGCATTTTCAAATAAAGGACGATCATTGAAATTGGAACGAAATCGTCCCTCTTCTCCAACGGAAGACACAAAAAATTTCCGCGTATAAAAATATTAAAGTTGCACGTATTATTGAAACGCAACGAAAATGACGAGAATGAGACGGAATTCAAATGTTTCTTTGCGAGAATAGGCAACTGTGAATTCTCCGAAATTATATTACATGTTTTTCTGTGTGAAATGGATATCAACGACAAGTTCCACGGAGGTTGTCGCGTTTTCCAACGACTGAATGAACCACGTGACTCGCGCTGATAGATATAATAACCTATTGAAGAGGGGACTTTAGAAACGTTTCCGCGAATGACGACTACCGGAACAATGTTGCTCCACGGTAAAAAGAAGTCTGTTATTGGACAATGAGGCTACATCGAACAATACATCGCGCGGTGTCCTAGGCGCCTATTCACAAAAGTGGACCACTTTTTCCTCTAAATAGAATGACGAGAAAAGGGAACTCTGTCCGCGTACTGGCTCGAGAGACTTCGTTCTTGTTAGCACTCGACGTTAACTCGACCGACAGTGTCAAACCGCGGTGTCTTCGATTTTGCCAACGATAAACTGACGTACGCTTCGGGGAGGGCAAAAACGACCCGGTTATGATGCTGGTTGGAATCGACGTATGGTTGGAAGGTCTCCAACTCCGGATGCACGAAACCGATCGGATTTTGCAGCTATTCGGACGCATTTAGGGGCTCAGCTCTGAAGTTACATCTCGATTTTTCAACGAATTTCAATTCGACATTTTTCAGTCAAATGTATACCAAATTATATATATGATATTTTTAAGGGGGTAAGTCTAGAAAAAGTAAGCCGTTAATGTAGAATGACATGTTTTGTACGAAGCTTCTTCTTCGATTTTTATGTTAAATGTTCGTGGAGCATGTGCACACTTGGCATAAATAAAACTACTTTTTGATCAAGAAGTTTGAGACAGATTGACATTTTTTATAAACTCAAACGCAACGAAGACTAGTCTATAACATAGTCAAGTGTGCGTGTGCGTGTTCCATAAATAATTAACATCGATTTATTCGAAAAGAAAGTTCTACATTTTCGACTTATTTTTTCGATTAACGGTTCCGTGCACCGAGAATCTTTCGACGATCCAACGAAACTCTCGTCTCTTTGTTAGCGATGGAAAAGGAGTTTTCGCGGGATTCTTGTTGTCGAAATACCGATTGAAAATATCGGACGAAAGCAGCCGCGGGGCATCGCGAAACGACGCGGTGTTTATTTAGAAGGAGAAACGTTACGTGCACGGTAGGACGAGGGTGAATTTTTCAGAGGGAAGTTCGCGGGTACCCTTAAGGAACGTGTTCAGCGCGTGTCGCCGACTGTTTCTGCATTTTTCACGGACCGTCGCGGACCCGGAAGCGGTCGGCGACCCGGAATTTACGTCAGCTGTCGGACGCGAATTTATGTTCCACGGGGTCATTTGCATTTTAAAATAGTCGGCGCGGTAATGAGCAATCTGAATTGCAAATCCGATATAATAACCGTATTTTCGTAAATATATTTTCAATTACGCGCTCGCGAAAGTGACGTTTCGCTTAATTGATCTTCGTTTATGCGGCAAACGCGAGGCCGCGGTCGAATCGCGATCGACACGGACACGATCTCCACCGAATTAATTTCGTTAGTTGATCCTTATTTTTTATTTTTTTTTGCGAGAACCACGCTCCGTTCCGGCGTTCTCGAATCTTGCTTTGCTCCGCTTTGCCTTTGCTTCGCGGTGAAAACAAACGACAGCGGACGAAGCATTCGGCCCACGGCTATTTTCATGAATTTAAACGTCCCCCGAACGATCTTCCGCGTCAAAGGAATCGACCGCGTCGACATTACTCCGGTTTCCGGCGAGCCATTAACGGGCACAACGATGGAAAACAAATTGAATTCCGGTTTCCTTTGCGACCCTCGTCCGGATCCCGTGCAAATCCACCGTCTACATAAATAATATTTTCCTCTCGTTAAAGTCAATTTCGAAATTATGTTTTTAAAAAGAAAAAAGAAACCAACACCAGCACCGATTTAACGTAACAACGAGCAATCTGTCCTTTTTCTTTTCACGATGCTGCGCCGTTCGAAACGTGTCAAGAGTGAAATTACCAAGTCAAGGGGCAGACAAAAGCAATTGGCTTTTGGGCAATACGTTAACAATGGACTCCCGTGAAAATACGAAGCGTTCTACTCTTCATTCGGTGGCAGCGTTTTCGTCCGAGGGAAAAAATAATTAAATTCCAAGGGGCGGAAACGTGCTTTATTCCGCTGTTTTGCGTCAAGTTTAAAGCTCCGCGCGGGCGGAGCGCGACGGAGGAGAGGGCCGCGGATAAAAAGAAAGTGAAAAATAGTTCGGCCGGATCCGCGTAAATGTAAATAACCGTGCGGGGTAAATAAACGACGCCCACAATTTTTAATATTAACGAGACCATTAATAATAAGGGACGACGTAAATGAGCTCTACGAAGGAAAGTTCGCGCGCGGTTTCTCCCGTTGCTGTTCGCCCCGCGCGCGGGACGCACGGATGCCGTCTGAAAAATTCATTTCCACGTTCGTCGACCGAGAAAATCGCGTCTCGATCGATCCCCGAGACGTTCGGCTACAAAAATACGCGTCTCTCCGACCGTTCCCGAGATCGAACAAAAAATTCGCTCAAAAATAACGATGAATATCCATCCTATCCGGACGCAAATTCAATTTCTAACATAGTGCAATTAAAAACATCAACCCAATCCGCTGGAACAAGTTTTTATACACTTTAAATTTATGCTCGAGCCTTGTATAAAGTAAACAGTTTGTTTGAATCGACTGCAGTAAAATTCATTTCTGACCGCAGTTTATATTTTCGGCAAAGAATTTTTTTCTCGAACGTGCGTAGGATTTCGGTGGTATGTGTATTCGCAAAACCTGATTGTAATTGACCCCCGCAGCCAAAAGTAATTTTTTTTTTACATTTCAGCAGCTAACCCCTGTCGATTTGTTTTTGAAATTCGTTTCTGATTTTTAATAAATTTGATTGATGTTGTACAGAAATGTTGTCTAATACTTTTGTGTGGATATCCATGAGCTCTACTTCCAGTCTAAATTTCAATGAAATCCATAAACTATTGTAGGAGTTATGGACGTAAGGAGTTATGGATCAGTAAGGAATTTTTTTCTCGAAAGTGCGTAGCAATTCAGGGGTATGTCTATTCACCGAAAATGATTGAAATCGAGCCCCGCAAACGAAAATAATTTTTTTAGAACGATTTGAAATTTTTCAATTTTGCTGAAAAATTTGTCCACCTACTCGAATTTTTTTCTCGAAAGTGAGTAGGATTTTGAAGGTATACCTATTAACCGAAAATGATGGTAATTGACCCCTGCAATCGAAAATAATTTTTCCAGAATGATTTGAAACTTTTTAATTTCGCCAAAAAATTTCACACCTACCCGAATTTTTTTCTCGAAAGTGGTTAGGAATTCGGGGTTATGTCTATTCACCAAAAATGATTGTAATGAACCCCCGCAACTAAAAATAATTTTTTTAGAACGATTTGAAATTTTTTTTTTTCGTCGAAGATTTAGGCAGCTACCCCCTGTCGATTTTTCTTAAAAATCGTTTTTCATTTTTAGTAATTTTATTTGACGCCCTACAGGAAAGTTGTCTAATACTTTTTCGTAGGTACCCATAAACTCTACTCCAGAAAAAAATTTTAATGAGACATACTTACTATTGTGGGAGTTATGGCCGTTTGAAAATTGGACCATTTTTATGGGGTTTTTCTCATTTTGCGGGATTAAGGATCAACTTTTCGAGTATTTTTGCGATTTCTACATATTCTCCATCAAAGTACGCGTAGTTTGCTTTTTGAAACATTAAAATCCCCCAATCCGTTCAGAAGTTATGGCATTTTAAAGATTCGCATGAAATTTCAGGGGTGCATTTCTGGCCTCACATTAGATTTTCGGTAAGGAATTTTTTTCTCGAAAGTGCGTAGGATTTCGGGGGTATGCGTAATGACCAAAAATGATTGTAATTGACCCCCGCAACCGAAAATAATTTTTCCAGAATGATTTGAAATTTTTTAATTTCGCCGAAAAATTTCACACCTTCCCGAATTTTTTTCTCGAAAGTGGTTAGGATTTCGGGGATATGTCTATTCACCAAAAATGATTGTAATGGACCCCTGTAACTAAAAATAATTTTTTCGAACCGATTTGAAATTTTTTAATTTCGCCGAAAAATTTCACGCCTACTCGAATTTTGTACTCGAAAGCGGTTAGGATTTCGGGGATATGTCTATTCACCAAAAATGATTGTAATGTATCCCTGTAACTAAAAATAATTTTTTCGAAACGATTTGAAATTTTTTAATTTCGCCGAAAAATGTCACACCTACTCGAATTTTTTATTCGAATGTGGTTAGGATTTCGGGGATATGTCTGTTCACCAAAAATGATTGTAATGGACCCCTGTAACTAAAAATAATTTTTTCGAAACGATTTGAAATTTTTGAATTTTGCCGCAAGTAATTCGCGGCGTCTGCTTCGCGTCGATAAAGTTCTCGATAATTTTGTGCGCGCGAGGCTCGTGTTCCTCGACCGGGAATCCGATCCGACGCCGAAAACCAGCATCGTCCAATACCGGGGAACACGAGAAGATCGAACATTCCACGAGCCGAGCAGAGGACAGAGGACTGCACCGACGCAAGAACGAATAAGTTTCGATAACGAAACGCGAATCGGTCTTCCTTCTTTCCCCTTTATTTCCTTTCGTTTCTACCTCGTAACCCAACGTGCTCGTTTCTCTTCCCTTCGTTTTCTCTGGTCCCGTACGCGCGTAGACATGGCAACCGTAAATCAACTCCCGAAATTGTTTTCGAGTGTAGAACATCCCCGGATTTGCGCAGACTCAATATCCAGAAATTCGAGCGTCTCGCCATGGGTGCAGCAGCGTTTCAACGAGAAATCAAACGGAAAGACAAATTTTTCTACCTTTGAATCGCTGACTGTATAATGTTATTTCGTTATAAATATTTAGTTTCTGGTCTGAACGGCCGTGTACAGTTGCTCGTATTTGTGAAAGCAACACAGCGTAATGAACAACATTTGGTTAAAATTAAATCGAAAGAATTCACGAGTTTCTTTTCATTTATTGCGAATCGCTGTTATAGCGTGCGAGTACGAACGAGTGGAACTGTATCTCTTCGAAACACTGCGTCGACGAGCGAAATAATAGCACGTCGTACGTCGGCGGCTTCGATAATTTTCCACCCCGTCGCCCCGGAAAAATCACCGAGCACGGAATAGACGATCGTATCGAACGTTGCCTGATGTATGCTAAAGCGTTCCTGAGCGTCGAGGACATTTGAATCGATTCCACGAGCAAAAGTGGAAAAAGAAATTTCCATGAAGCTAGATCCGCGGAACGATTTCTTCGTTATATTATCGTCCATCTTCGATGGAAACACGCGAGATTGCGCCTCGACGACGGGATATATTAAACTGCTTAGAATCGAGTTTAAGAGACCAACCGAAACCTTCGTTCTCCGAACTTTCCGGACAGTCTTCTGCTGAAACTGGTAATCGTATCTTGACGCGATCGATCTCTGTCGCAGGTACTGGACGACCAGCGGAAACGGCCAGTTGGTGACGGACATTCCGCGGGACAATAAAGCAGCCATCATGGACAGCATCACGTCGTCGTACGCGCTGCAAAGGCCACGACTCACCGCAACGCCCGTGCCGAAATTCTCTAAATACAACGGGAAGACAGGATGGCCGTATTATCAGAAGTACAAGCAGACGGCCGAGGCGCAGAAGGCACAAATCTTCGAGGACATTCAGAGGAAGATCGCGAACGCGACCAACGGGAACAGTCTCGGCCATTCCTGGAATTCTACCGACATCACCACCCAGCGCCAACACAGGCTCAGGATGAAGCACCATAGACTTACGTCCAAAGGGAAACGCCTGAGAACGCGTAAGTATACGTTTGTTCTCAAAAACTTGTACTTCGTTTCTTTCTTACAACTTTATCGACCGATAAACAAATTATCGACCGCTGCCTGACTTATCGACTTCTGGGTGTTCCAAGAGTTATCGACCGCTGTCCGATTAATCGGCTTTTGATCCGCGTATGTTTCTTTTGCTCTCTGGACGTTTTTTTACCGGTCGTGGCCCCCGAGAGACATTCCTGTCGAGTCGAGATTTCGAACGTTCGTCGGAGTTCGATTAAGATTCGCCGTCTAAATCCGAGTCTCGCGTTAAACCGAGGTCGACGGACCGAGTAAGAATTGTGCACGATTGTTTCAGGTCCTCCGAGGGACTGCAAGGTCGGGGAATGGGGTCCTTGGAGTGCCTGCAGTCGTAGCTGCGGGGTTGGGGAGACCCAGAGGACGCGGAAGATAACGATAAAGCCCCGCCGCGGAGGATCATCGTGTCCGCCGTTGAAGGAGACCAAGTGGTGCGGCAGCGCGAGCCCCTGCTCCGACAGCAAATCCATCGTGGACAGCTACCAATGGTAGTCGTCGTCGTGGTTGTCATCGGTAAAGCGATCCCGAGAACATGATCCACCGAGCGGGGACGATTCACCCTGACCGTTCGAAGGGCTGAGATTCGAAAGACCCAGGGTGGGTCTCGCGCGTCAATACAAAATAAAGGAGTAAAAAACTAGGCGAATGCGGTGGATCGTCATTAGTGATCCGCTAGAACGCGTCAATAACGTTATCGTAGTCGTAGCACCGAGGATTTCACGCGTCGGGACGGTCGTTCGGCGATCGGGACGTCGGGAGTCGTGCCTCGAAAGTTGCCTCGACATTTCGATGATTCTTTTGGAGGCGTCGTGGCATCGAACGAATCCAAATTTATTCGCAGAAATTGCTCGAGAGGCTCGCGGTATGGTCGACGGAGAAAAGAGGGTATCGCGAAAGAAAATATTTTTAATATTCTTGGTAAATACGGATGGTGTGTTTCATCACGAATCAATCTAACGAGAGTAGGTTCCGATACTTGCATCAGTTTTAACTAAACCTTGGCCTACGAGTCGCGAGAAAAGGGCGCTTCGTTTCGACGACTTTCGAGGACGAGGACTACCCTTAACGTACAGCCGAACGAACGCAGAGAATTCGAACGTTCCCGATTGTATCTTGTCGATCTGATCGAGCTTATTTCCCCGGCTTAAACTCTCCCCGGTTACCTCTCGAGTATGTTCGAAAAAATTCCGCGAAAAATCCAACCGCGTCTCCGTCGAAGAAACGCGCGATAACTCTGCCCACGGAGCATCGATTCGTTGAAGCCCCGGTCGCTGAACCCGCGGCGAATTATTTCGAAAGAATTCCAGTCGGTCCGCGAATTATCCTACCGAGATGAAACGAATCCCCGAACCGGATACTCCCGAAACTCGAACGGGCAGCGTCCCAGTTCCCACCGAGGGCGGATATATCCGACGAATTCGTTCGTTCGCGAGAACGGCGATAAAACGAGCAGGCGGTAGGGGGCGGCAAAGAAAGTACAGAGTTTTCTGAAGGCACGAAAAATCGACGGCAATTCCCCGAGGCTGAAGCGTTGAACGCAATTAGCCCATTGGACTCGCACGAGGGAACACCGCCTCTCGCGTGTATGCCGGACGAATTCAGAACACGATCGATGGAAAAGTTTCACGAGGAATTCAACGGCTGGCTTGCGCGTAGATCGACACAGCCTTCGAGGGACTTTTGCTCGTGTCTCGGGATATCGTTCGCGCGTATTCGAAACTTCCAGACGACCGCCATTTTGCTTAGATCGGTTGATCCGCGCAACAACTTCATTCCTAGCCATTTTTTCATTTCGAGAGAAAATAATTTTGTTTCGTTCAAATAGGAAAAATTCACACGGCTACAAGATTCACGAGGGTCAAGTTCTTTTAAATGAATGTCCTATATGGACATTTATAGTTGCAAGGTTTAAAATATAACAAAGTATCAAGATTTCTGAAGACTTTCAAGATGTTGAACCGTTTAAAATCCTAGATCGGATTGATTTTATACGATCGGTAACGGGGGAAGCAGCGTGCTGGCCAAAAAGTGTCCGGGTATTGATTGGAACTTACAAATCTCGAGGTACAAGGCGTACAAAAATCGCAACCGGGGATGAAAATGACGCGGCGGGAAACGCGGGACAATGAAATGATGAGAATCTATTTCCGTGGTTCGCGTCCCTTTATCGATATGCCTACGATTCTTGGTACCCCGGTTCTATTAACCCTTTAACCGCGTGCACTCGTCTCTCGAGTAGAGTTTGCGCTTTCGTTCGAGTGTTATTGCCGGAGGATTATCGACGTGGGTCTCTTTGGAATTTTCTCGTTAAAAGCGTATTCAAGACGGGACCCGGTGAATAGAACGCGTTGAATTGGTTTATCCGGGGTTAGTAAGAACACCGAATGCTTCCGTTTCAACGAAATTACGCGATCAAAGGGTGAAAACTGTGCTGGAAAACGTTGAATTAATTCGATTATGCGGGGCCCGGTCGTCGCCTCGGCTCGAATTCGCGTAAACGGCGAAAGTTCCCGCGAGACGATATCGGGACGCGTGGTGGGCGATTTCGCGACGAGATCCGCGAAAGGAGAAGAGAAAACCGTTTAAGGAGAAGAACGTTCGAAACATATTTCCTCCGCCAAGTGCTACGACGTGCCCATGCTCGCGGCGTGATAGGGAAATTTTTACAAAAGATATCATCAGGTACGTCTTAGGTGAGTGTATTATATCTTAGGCGTAAATTTAACGATAATAATTAACAACTAACGTTTTAATCGTAACACGTTAATTTAAATAGGCTCGTACCGTTGCGCCCCGCGAGGGGCTGTTCGCGGCGGCTTGTCCTTCTCGCCCTCGTGTTCTATGTTCGTTCACGATAATGTTTCTTTCGTAGCTGACGAAGAATCGATGAAATTAAAAAACGTGTAAGCAATAATTTTGAAAAAATTGATGGAAATCAATCGGCGCGAGAGCTGGGACCTGGAGAAATTAATTTCGATGAAAGCTAATCCAGATAAAGCAGTTATCCCGAAACAAATAAAAGGAGAGTTTCGCAGGGGGGGGGGGCCTGAACGGGGTAAATGCTCGTGATTTCGCTTAATCCGCAAAACGATGAAATTTCTCGGGAGACAGGACCGGGGGGGTCCGACGGACGACGAAAGAAGAGACACTTTCATTTCTACCGGGAGGAAGGACCAAGCCGTCGCAGTTTTAGCAGCATTAAGGATGAACGTTTTATAAACTAAACGCCCGAGGGGACGCTTTCGCGACGAAAGTTTCGACGACACGGAGAGAGAAAAGGAGTAGTAGCTGGACTTTGCCTAAGAAATAAAAGCGCGAGATAACAAGGAGGGAGACGTTACCAAAGAAACACTCGTGTAAATGTATATCTTTTTCCCCCCCTTTTTCATTCCCTGACCTTCTCTTTCTCGTTCCTGTTTCCGTTACTTCTGGTTCGCCGGTGCACGCTTCTTCCTCTGTTTCTCTCTTCTCCCTCGCGCGCGAATGGTTCGCGAGAACGTATGACAAATCAATGACAGACGAAAGGAACGAAGGAGGACGATTCTGTACAAGTCACTGTGCATTCTAGCCTCTAAGGACCTAGCCGATAGGACCTAGCCGTTAAGCAAGAACATGTAGCAATGTATAACACATAAGTTTATATTACATAATAAAATCTGTCGATAAAAATCCGTTCGAACCGATATTTTTCACTTGTGACGTATGAATGGTGTTCGTGTAATAATAAAGTAGCCGTTATTTCAGGATCTACTCGTGTACCATTTCGTGTCCCAGCATCTCCTTATTCTAAACTACACTCACGGTCTTATCAATCTCTTGATGTCAACTTTCATAGTCAACACATTTTTACATTCACGAGGTATACATAAAACAAATCTATTCTACGTGCGAATTTAAACAAAATTAAATTTAAAGTTTGGAAAAATAATTTGAAATTAAATCGTTCTTCGAGGGGTTGATAAAGCCTACTTTTCAGCCACTAAAAACAGAAAAGAGACGCTTTATATAAAAATTAAACTTTGAACGGATGATCGATCGCTTGGGAAAAAAAAAAATGAACGGAGCAGCTCGTCGAGAGTAGTGCTTTTTTCATTAACGATCCGATCTCTTTTCGCGGGATCCAGCCGACAATATTAATAATCGTCCCAGCGGAGCAATTCCAACCGGAGGGTAGCCAGGCAGCGTTGGTTGTTATCACGCAACATTACCCGAAAATAAAGGACGGCGTGTTTGCCGAAGGAGAGAAGGCGAATACGAGGGACAGGTAGTCGGAACACAATACCTACAAGGCGTACGGATCTTGGAGCCCCTTCTACGGCCAGATAAGAGGGTAGAAACCGCCCTTTGCTCGACCCCTCGACTCTCGAGAACGAGCGAAGCGCAATGACGCTGCACGGCCGCTGCCCGCTTTATCCGCCATTCGCGAATGGTCTTTATCCGCTCGCGTACAGTTAATCGTATTAATGACGGTCGTTCCTTCCGCTTTCAGCTTTTTCCCGATTGTTGCTGGAAGGGTATTTGTTCTTTGGGAAAGAAAATTAACCGTGCTCCGCGGAGAAAGTTAATTAAGAATACGAAATAACGCGCGCCGTGCCCCGATCGAACAGCCTCGGTCAAAAATACGTTCAAGAATTCACAAATAATATTCGAGCGAACGATTCCAATAATTCTGATACTTTTTATCTGTCTGGATCCACTTTACGATCCAAGTGGCGTGTCGAAACTTTAAATAAGACCCGCATCTTTGACTTTCGCTCGCTAAAATCCATTTAATTGCGGACTCATTGTTCGAGAATGCCGAGGAGGAGCTCCCGGAACCCGACAATGCAAATGTTTAACCAGAGAAATCAAAGGACCGGGGTGTCTTCTGGCTTGTTAGACCAGCCCTTGACGCGTAAACGTTTCCAGTCGAGCGGACCGCGTTCCGTGGATTAATTATATTAACGTTTTAATTAATCAATCCTGGACTTCGGGAAGATGGAGACGAGGGGGGGACGAGTTCGTTCGCGATTTCGGAAGACGGCGGCTGCTCCGTCTTTGGGAACGAAGCTTCTCTCGTTAGCGTGTTTATCTTGCTTTCGTCTATCTTTCGCGGAAAGATAAACCTAGCCTTATTAAACGAACTTAAAGAAAATAGACGCGGACGGGAAGTTGGGTGCTTCTTGTTGCCTTATTATTGCGCCGGTAACGGATTCCCGGTTCGTTCCGCCTTGTCGAAAGATTCGGAAAGCGGGGGCACTCGTTAACGACCGAGAGATATATTTTTTTCCTATTAAAAACATCGATGAAAGATTCACGATGCTCTTTGAACGTGATTGCCAGTCGGAGGGTTCGAAATCTAAGAAACGAGGACGACCCTGTCGTACGGTCTCGCGCTGTTATCGTATTTCCCGCGCAAAATCGCGATTGGAACGAGAGATAATCGTGCTCGAAGAACAGAGTCGATGGTATAATAGGTGGAAACGTGTGAGGCGAGGCTGGTCGTGCGGAAGATCGGCCACGGTCCGCTGTAATTGAGATATCGTCGTTCGAACACGTGCGTCAGGTTAGAAGCTAAGGTAGCCCGGGCTTCATAAAATTAATAACCCATAAATCCTAGGGAATATCGTCGGGAAAATTACCCAGACATGCATTACCCATACTGCTAGCCCGTCTTGCCAGGCACTCGACCCTCCCCACGCTGCCAATACTTGCGGGGAAGACGTTCATTTTTGGGGTTGGAATAACCGATCCCGAGGAATCCCTACGTGAAGTACACCCTCGGCTCTGGCTCTTCTATTATTTAAAATTGATCGATTTTCGATACTTGTTTAAAGCTCGCGAAGAGAAGGCACCGGATAAGGTGTCCGTGGTTCTAGACAAATGGTGCCTACACCGGATACAGTAACTTATTCTAGTCGGACCCGAAGCCACGGTGAGAATCAATGTTTAGACCGCAAACAAGACTGCACACACAGTCCGTTACGATCACATTGTTCTAAACAATCCCTCGAGGTCTCAATCAGACGTTGTGTAACCACCCGGCAGAATCCCTTTCATCCCTCTTTGCGTTCGCGTCCCTTTCCTCCTAAAACGACTTTGGCACCAACGAGCCTCAAAAAATCTCCTAATATTGTCTTAACGCTTTACCAATCGGTAACCGTTGACCCTGATAACATTTTCTATCTTCTACCTTACCGACCAGTAAAGCATTGTCGGTAAAAAGTCGGTAAAGTATTAAGTAGTCTAACCCGGCGCCTGGTCGTACAGACTGCAAGTAGAGGGACTAGAAGCGAGCATTCCTGTTATTCGAGGCGAAGATACCAAGAACTATTCGCGGTATATTATGCAAGCTGCTCGATCGAGATCTCAAGTCTACCGAGTAAATCCTCGCTTACGTATACCATAGCCAATCACTTAGTAGATCCTTTGGATCCCGGTCACGAACGAGAGAGGTCGTCGATACTCGAGAATGGCGAGATAGAAGCCGTATATAAAGCGGAGGGGGGGTCGGAAAAAAACTGGATATAAGAGGGTGGGCGGCTCGAGAAACCAGGATTAATAAAGCTGCCGCCGGTAACATGATTTCCGCTAAAAACGTTTTAAAGTATCAACGTTGGAAATCCCGGGGCCCTGGGTGGCTCGTTACATCGAGATTGCTCGTGCAAACAACGCGCGCGGCTCGTTGGTGTTTCCTGATGCGCTTACACGGTTCAGTGTCTTGGCCCTCACGGCGTTGTTCCGTTGCTCAGAAGTTAGCCGAGTCAACAACCAACAATAAGTCAAATATCCTGGTCCCGGTTCGCTCGCGCTTCGACTTCGCGTTCCGGTTGAATCTCGAGGGCTCGGGAACCGGGTGCGATTCGAAACGTCCGGCCGCGAGGATGACTTTTTAATCAAATTTTGATAGGAATTCGAGCGCCGCGGAAACAGTCGCGAGATAAAGACGAGACGACGGAGACCCGGGAATATCTTGGAAAAGCCTGGAAAATAAGTCGTTCCCCCGACGCTGGAAAACTATTAAAACAATTTCTTCCCGCGGGGGAGCTTCTTTAAAACAAAGATCAAGGAACTCTACGGGGAGGCGAGAGACGAAGAACAAGCAAAGAACATCGGGGCCAGAGGCGGGGAAGAAAAGAGTTCCCATCTCCGCGATCTACGTGACGTCTTAACCAAACGGATGGATCGTAATGCGCCGCGGCGGCTGCGTTTGCGTCAACAATTTCAAATATTTATTTCCACGCACCGTGCGGGGCGTTCTAAAATATCGCGATATTTTTCAGAATCTTTTAAGAGTCGGATTTTTCGGCGATCTCTCTCGCGAACAAATATTCCAATAAATTTCTTCTTTGGGTCCGCGTTCGTACGAAGGTTCGAGCTTTTCTATAATGTGCCTCCTCGTTGGAAATTCATAAGATACTCCGACGATCGTAAACAGTTCAAAAGCATTCTCCTGCCGCGCAATATACCGACGCGTATCGAATACCGCGCGAACGGAAGTATTAGCGCGGAAAATACTTGGACGTCGACTTTAAGCGTCGCGGACCGGGGTGTTCCTTCCGGCGAGAATCGGGATTAACTCTTCGAACGAGAGTAACATCGGTCCGCGTGAATAATGGAGCTGAAAACGCGGACGCGAACCAATGTACACTCGATTTAACTTTTAATTAATGAATTCGTTAGGGTAATAGAGTCTACCCTCTGCCGCGGTGTACCTTTTGCCCCGCCGCTCGATCGAAATCGAGACTTCACTGCGTTTACTGCGACAGTCTTGTCTGTTCTGAATTTTTTCGAAATCTCGATACGTTATCGATTTATAGTTTACTGGATTATGAATTGTGAATGGTTAAGAGAGCAAGGGGCAAATTATAGCACACTGAATAGAAAAAGTTAACATGTCAAGTGGAATCCTAAGCCTACTAGGCTTAAATAAAAATTCTGTTGTATACTCGAATTGAATAGTAATAACGTGACCACTAAATGGTAAATAAACGAGGAATGATTTTCTTTCTGTTAGTTGAAGTATCTGGCAATCTTGGGGTTGTATTTGAATAATCTCGCGGCCAAGGTTGCATAACAAAGTGCAGCGTTGACGGTTCTCGGAGCCGCGAGGTGATCGATACGTCGTAGAGCAGGATCGACGGGAATACGTTGAATCGGCAGATACCGCGGTTGAGTAAGCGACAAAGGATGGCTTTGTCCTGTTCCGCGATGCGCTGCTGCGAGGAGGAAATCGAAAGTGTGATAGGCCCTCTGGGATGCAGCGAAGCTTGTCTGTCTAGCGCACCCGGTGCATTAACGCGGCCAGATCAGCGAAAAACTGAACATCACACGCGACTCTTTCGCGGTCTTTTTTTTATCCAGTCTTCCAGCCAGACGAGAGACTGTGCACCGTCGCGTCAGCATGCATAAACGAAGGTCGCCGTTAATTAACAATACTTTAACCCCGGGTACTCTACTCACCAAGATAGTAATGAAACTAAAACAATCGGTTCTCAAGTTTGAGCATTAGATAGAGAATACAAGTATCAAGTTACGTGGTTTATGATCGACTGTAATCAAAGCTTCGATCTCGTTTCAGTCTGGTAGCCAACGTATATCGATAGAAAATTTGATAAAA